CTAGAATCCGGGTTTCGATACCCGTGGTGGGCAGAGCACAGATAGCCCATTGTGTAGCTTTGTGCTTAATTACAAACAAACAAGTATTACCAGCAAAAAGGGATGAAGACTTTTGCAAGGTACTTTATATATCTAGCTTATTTTTTATGATAAATTGCACCTCATGAAGATCAGTTTCTAACAAGTACGTTTGAACAACTAATACAAGTCTCAATTTACATTTCCTATTCATAACTCACGTTTCATCATAGCCTAATATGCTATGATTTATATATGTAATTAAAATCACACACTTAACAAGCACGCTGAAACATTTATTAACAAAACTTCAAACTAGAAAAAGATAAAACAGACACAATCTTATATTTATCTAGTTGTTCTTGAAACTCATATACATCAACAGCATTAACAAAGCTGGTCTCACTAAGAAAGATATATATAACTTAAAACATTAGGCAATACATTAATGCTTATGCTTATTGTAAATATTAGAAGTGTGAATCTTTTTCATCAGTAAAGGTGATATTTGCAATCATAGTCTCGGTCAAAACACTATGTGTATAATTTATTAATGTATTTAACTTTGTGTTGCACTTCCAGCCAACTCACGAGCTCAGGTACTGGGCAAGAAGTACCCAACATGCATCAGCATACATCGCAAGGTGTGTACAGTTCAAATGTTATTGTGTTGCTCCTCGATGGAAACCCATAGTAGAGAAAGACATTCAGACATTCCCATAACTCAAGAAAGACATTGTATGTTTAGTGTAGATTGAACTTAAGTTTTTTGCGACTCTGTACAAGGGAAACTCTGATTATCACAGTGCTTGTCTATATTTTATGAACCCATGGCCTCGTATTCAGATGGTCATCACATGAGACCTCGAGACCATGGGCATCTGCAGAAATTTTCCTGGAGGAGTTGGGGGGGGGGGCAAAGTCAAAATCAATTGATGATGGAGCCGCTTTCAAAGTTTTGCCATTACAGTCAAGAGAATAGGTAAGTTCCCACAGTCATATTTGATGGGTTTAATATTTGTAAGGTTAGTTTAAACTATAATGCAGACTTGCAGCTATATATATTCCATAATATAATTTTTTCTCTTTTTTAGGTTCTTAACCCTATAGAGTAATTTTACCTTAGATAAAACAACTGCTTATATAAATACAGAAATTTGAGGTTACATAAAGCACAATATTTCAATGGCATTTATTATGTATGTATGGTAAGAACAACAAGACTGCATCAGTTTATTTGATAACCTGCTGCCGGTATTACCAGCAGGTGGCAGCAGGTTGACCCCGACCACACTGTGTCAGGGTTCAGGAGATGTTGGTCTCTTTGATGACCTGAGCGAGAACTGCCATGTCCAACATCCAAGAAGCTGCTGTGGTAGCAACGTTTGTCAATATTTAGCTACAGGGTAGGTATAAAGAGATTTTAAATAAAGCTGCTGAAATACCTAGCAAAGTTTATTAGAATTGAAAATTAGGTGTAATAAATAGTGTGAAATATAAAAAAAACTTGTAAATTCACATATATAAATATATTGAATAAATGAAGAGAGAATTATGTGCCTTATTTTTCAGGGGGATAAGTGTCCCCCCCCCCCTAATGTATCCATGCCAGAGACTGCTTTCTAATACAGGTCCCTGAATTTTTTCTTTTCACAACAAAAATGAACAGTGCAGCAGCAAGAGGCTCTATGTTGTACATCTATTTACTATCAAAAGAATGTTTGTATCGATCATCATAAAACTATTTCAAAGTGGTTAACATTATTTCATCCCTACTAGACGCTAGTAGCTCCTTAATATAAGAACAAATGTTTTTTTTTGAATGACTGTAATTAAAGGGAGAACTGTGTGATAATGTGTTATGATTTTATCTTACTTCTGTTACTACAATCTTATAACAATTACATTGATGTCTAAGACGTAAACAATAAACTGTTATTATGAGATACACAGCAGAAATGATACTAACTTAATTATAATACGCATGGTCTTTAAACAGCAGTCTCTGAAGATAAATCTAATATGTAGGTGAAAGTCTGAATTTATATCTTTGTCATGAGATCACAGAACTTACAAGTACATCACTGTATTGAAAATGTCCACTATGGTATTCACGATGTTTATTGTTCCAACGATAGAGTGATGTGATATCACAGTATATAACACATTCTCTGACAGATTCTAAATATCTATGTGAGAAGAATCTATTTTCTGCAGATACAATCAGATTTCTGTGTTACTGTACATCAGACAAAATATCTTAGTTCTTGTTTTCACTACTTTCAAATATTGCATAACAATAGAACAGGTTGTTTTTCAAATAGTGGTCGTTGACAAGCATGTGACTAATAAACAAAGGTCAAATCTTTGCTCGCAGAGTTTTACCCTTTGGTGTCACTTCTTTGAGATTTCCTTTGTTCTAGATTCAACATATATGTGTGTGTAAAATTACTGTACAAACTTTTTTACAGTCATGGGTTATGAATATATACTTTGTAGTAAATATGTTCAAAATATACAATCATGTACTCATCATATCCATACAAATTATTTCGGCGACTACCTTATTTGTTTTGTTTATGGAAAGATGTTTAATTTACACAGTCTTTTGTTTGAACATTTAGACATTCCTCAATTATTACTATACCAGGCTCTTGGAATTATACAAAATACAAAATTCTTATTATTTTGTTAAGATGAAGCACTCAAACATACTGGAAAAAAAACTTTTTAGTGCTAAATATAGTAAAACAAAATATTTTTAGTGCTAAACATAGTGAAAACAAAACTTTTTGGTGCTAAACATACTCAAAAAAATATTTTTAGTGCTAAACATACCGAAAAAAGCCCCCCAGTGGAACAGTGGTACGTCTTACGCAGACTGGGGGCTTATATCCATAGAAACCGGGTTTCGATACCCGTAGTGGGCAGAGCACAAATAGCCCTTTGTGTAGCTTTTTGCTTGATAACAAACAACAACTACTGAAAAAATCTTTTTAGTGCTTACAGTAATTTGAATAATGTTTTCACAATCAGGGAGTGACAAAGAAAAGTAATTTATTGTTTAAACCCCGAGACGTGAAAATATTGTCGATAAATTAAACAAGTATAAATTGTTGAAAAGCATGTCCCACACAAATGACGTAAGACACATTTCAAATATTTCTGTACATACGCTCTCAATTACACAGCCGTGTGATCCGCATGTCCTTTACTATCTGTATCTTTTGGGTAAGTGGTATTAGTGTGGAGGTCTAGTTTTTGAGGTAATCAATATGATATTATCGATAGAGTGGCAGATTTTACTTTTCAGAAATTGCAAAATAGAGGCGATCACAGAACAGTGTACGTAGTTGCACGTATCGTAGTACCAGTCTAATATATTTAATAATCAGTTTTTTAATTAATATGTTGAGCAAATCAAAATGTTATTGTTTTTTACTAGAGGTCTTTACAACTAGAAAAATCCAGTATAATTACGAGTTGGAAATTAAAAACAGTTAACAGTTCAAGTTAATATATTTATTAGAATATTTCAAAATTAGGAAAAGCAGAAACAGATTTAGTAACAATTTTGATCAATTCAATAAAATGTTTTATCTTTTAAAGTACAAATGTAATAAAATACCCAAGCTATTGTCGAACACCTTTTGTAAAATTGTGGTTCCCAGAAACAAGAAACAGTGTCAGTGCGACCGGGGCGGAATGGGAGGTGCAGCACGTACATATGCACAAGTCGGGAAGTTCTTGGGGGCGACAAAAATAAATGTCAAAAAATTGCTTCTGGTTACTAGCTGTCCCTTTGCCGAGCGACAATTTTCTGGCAGACAGAATCGGCATTCTGCTGTAAACTATACAGCTAGAACTTTATACTGCTGCTGCCTACAGATGATTCACGGAAAATTCATTGGGGAGTAGGAGGGGTGAACGACACATTCAGCGTTTCCACGGGGCGACAAAACACGTCGCACCGTTCCTGGCAGGAAGTTAACATTCAGCAAAACCAATTGTATAAGCATAATATCCAAATGACAGACCCTGATATATATTTTGGATGGGCGTGGTGGTCTAACGGTTAACATACCAAGCTAAAATTCGAAGAATCCAAAGTCCAAACTCCTCACTTCAAGCTTTAGTGCGTTATAAAAACAACAGTCAATCCCGTTATCCGATTTAAATAGCTTTATAAGCCGTTGTGGCGACAGATGCTGCTGGCTGGCTTCCTTTTCTGTGTTCAGTAATTTAAACAAAGGGACGAAACGTTTGGGAAGTGGTTCTCAAACTTTTTCGTTGCGGACCACATATTGGTCCTATCCCAACTGTTCTGTTTTCTCGTATGGCTTTAGCCGTGGCGTTGCGTGTCAGTGACTTGCATCTTGGATCAGTCTTAGATCTACCTGGAGGACACTCACGCACCATCATTGGGCCACGAACCACACACCTTGAGAATCACTGCTCTAGGGGTTTTTGACCCGACCGTTTAGCCCACTTGCGCATGATGTGCCGTTCAAGTTGTTTCTTGTTTGTTTGTTTGTTTTGAAGTTATGCACAAAGCTACACAATGGGCAATCTGTGCTCTGACCACCACGGGTATCGAAACCCGGTTTCTAGCATTGTAAGTCCGCTGACATGCCGCTGTGCCACTGGGAGGTCCGTTCAAGTTGAAAATTCTAATTCCATTACAGATTGAATAAACGTAATACTGTTTTGTTGTTCTTGTTTTTATCTCCTGCTGCCTTTTTAAATTGTAGATGGTTAAATAATAGATTCAAAGTTTTTATGAACTGCCTTTACCTAAAGTGGATGAGTGGTTAAAGTTTTGGCCTCTGGAGACTGGAATATCACTACTCCATAAAATATACGATCTATTCTGCCTAAACCTTCTCTAAAACAAAATCATAAATAGTTTCATTTGTTTGCTTGACTACTACTGTATCTTAGGGAAACGAATAATCACAGATTGCTAAGTTATGTGTCATAGACTCTAACCAAAACTACCATTTCTGGTTGACTGACTTTTCGTCGGTATTGCGTCCCACTCATTAATTGTAAATTAATTACAGAGAGTTGCATTTGTTGTAATTCGTTTCGAGGCCGGGTTTAACTTATAGCGGTTAATTTACCGAGTTGCTGATGAAAAGTACGAAATACGCGCTGCAATGGAGCTGAACACCTCCACTCAGTCAATCCTGTTATTCCGTTGAATGAGCTAAAACAAAAAACCTTTGTGGCGGCGGGTGCTGCTGATTGGCTGCCCTCTGTATGGTCATTAATTCAATATTAGGGACGGCTACACTTCAATCATCCAAGGGGAGCTGACCAGACCGTTTAGTAGCCAGAAAGGAATTTAAATTTCAAATTAATAGCACTCACCTGGTGAAAATTTCGGACTCTGTCAAAACATATATGTATATGTTTTTTGAGTGGGCAGATTCCAAAAGCACCGGACAAGGAGGGGTAATACTACTCAAACGAAACTGAGTCGTAAAAGTAAGTGATCTCCCAAAGGTTTGTATTTCACATACTCTGTCGAAATTAGGTTTAAGTGCAGACATTTCAGGTACTTGCAAATTAACACGTGAATTTTTATAACAAAAATTTGGAATGCACATGCATGAAATTGATATTGCATCACTCAAAAATGTATTGTTTCATGCCATTTTAAAAATATTTGAAACGTTTCTAAAACAAGATAGCACAGGAAAAAATCTTTTAAAAAATACCTTGATTGATACCATATTAAAACTACATTTAATGCTTTAAAATTTTGAAACCAATCTTAAAGAAACAGCTTAAAAGGTGTTTAAAAAACATTATACAATATATAAATAATATTGTTGTTTTCTTAGTGCAAAGCTACACAATGAAGTATTTGCACTTTCTTCACCGCGGAAAATAGAACTTGGGATTTTATCACTGTAAATGGGTAAACTGACCGTTGACTCACCGGGGGGGGGGGGGGATGGGGATAATATATGAATAGTTTTATACCCTTTCTAAAATTTAGTACTTCAACCTTTATAGTCTTAAAATAGACAGTAGACACAGGTTATTTATCTTACTATAATGGATGTAGCGAATGGCACCACAGACAAAAAATCTATAAAACAATTCACACTTTGGCTATTCAAGATTCAAACAATTAGAAAAATAACTGTGGTATATGTAACACAATCTATGTATGAAACTCAAAATCTGTCTGTTTGCTTGCTTGCTTGTTTGTACGCCGCGTTCTCTGCACAGGTCACACTTTCCTCACGTGATATACGTTGATATATGTGTCTATCGTCTGCTATCCGAACCAGTAATTTTATCGTAAACATATGCATTACACGAATAAATTCTATGCAGACTTGAAATTTTTTGGTAAGTTCATTATATAATATAGCATTACAAGCCTATTTAGTTATGTATCATTAACTACACATCTACTAATAGATAATATTGTTACGTATCTGCTTGTTTGTTAATTTCCGGTAAAATTCTTTCTGAGTGACTTCAGCGATACAAGTCCCTTCTTGCTTAAAACTAGTTTATTCTTGTTACAAACTTTGTAATACACTTAATTTCCACAGTCACTTTAAACTTAACTATTTTTATAAACACACGCTATAATTCAAAGCGATTCACACACTTTATTTATGGTGCCTACTGCTCGCTTGACTGAATTATCAATATCTCTCTTCAATCTATCTCCGGCTTATATACTAAAAAAGAGGGCGATTGGGACATTCGTGAGGTTCCCCGATCCTTCTAGAAACTCGAGCGCACATGCTCCCAGAGTCGCGTGACTTCCGCTGTCGTACCAATATATTTAACCTCACACATAAAAGAAATGTATGCAGAATCAAAATGTCGAGTGTGAAAAAGCAAACAGTAGGCCTAGCCTATAAAATGAAATAATGCCGTCTGCCATAAAATAGACTACGTGAAAAAGAGTAAGGCTTACATTATAATACTTATTGTGTAAAATGAGATTAAAGTCAAGTCAGCGAATGTATTTTATTCTACTTTATTTTTTTCTCCGGGTGGTTCGATACCTGGAAGTAGATTTTTTTTTATACATTATAAACTACAATATTGCATTTTGTTTGAAGTATATTTCACATATTAATGTCATAATTTGAATACGGTATCACATTCATAAATATATATTAAACTTACATTAAAGCAAATTGAACATAATATTAGATACATATTTACGTTTGAAATATTAATATTTGAAGAGGAAAGACGGGGGATGGGGGAATAGAGCTAGGCTACTCACACATATTTTATCCTTGCCAATGAAGGAAAAAAAAAACAACTAAAAACATCGTTCATAAGGAAGCCCTGATTTAAAACAGGTTCTTAGTATATTGTTACGACAGCGGAAGTCACGTGACACTAGTAACACGTCATGAACTTCTAGAAAATGCATGTCCCTTCGTGAAGCCTCGAGTGTTTACTAGATATGCGGTATTCTTGTATATAAGACCGCCAAGAAGTGACGGCAACAATGTAATTGAATTGCAGACAGAGATACAGACGACAATTAAGCCAAGCGCGTGAATCGTTCGTTCGTTGTGAATTATAGTGTTTGTTTAAGTTTTAGCGTGACCGTGGAAATTAAGTGAATTTCAAAGTTGTATTGAGAAAGAATAAACTAGTTTTATTTAAGAAAGGACTTGTAGCGCTAGAATTTCTTCGGAACACATTTTTACGGAAAATTAACAAACGAACAGAGACGTAACAAATTGGTGTTAGGAGTGAGATAAAAAAAACAAGATGGAAACAAGAAGCTGCAAATCAAACTACAGCTTAGCAGATTTGTTGGCAGCAATACAAGAACAGTAAAAGAAACAAGAAGAACGAGAAAATAAACAAGAAGAGACATTACAGCAGTGGTTGGAGGAAAAATAAAAGAAACAATAAGAACCAGAAAAGAAACAAGAAGAGAGATTACAGCAGTGGCAAGAAAAACTGCAACAGTGGCAGCTCGAACAGCAAAATAAACAAGAGATATGACAGCAGTTGTTGGAGGAAAAAGAAAAGAAACAAGAAGAGAGATTACAACAGCTATTGGAGGAGAGAAAAAATAAACAAGAAGAGAGACTACAGCAGTGGTTGGAGGAGAAAGAAAATGAACAAAAAGAGAGACTACAGCAGTGGTTGGAGGAGAAAGAAAATGAACAAAAAGAGAGACTACAGCAGTGGATGGAAGAGAAAGAAAATAAACATGAAGAAAGTCTCCAACAATTGAGAGAAAGCCAGAGTACACAAATGGAAAACATTAGTCAATTTCAAAGCAAATTAAATACATTTAAGAATGAGTTATTGTCTTTTACACAAGGAGGATACATTAACCATCGACTTAATCAGCCCCAGACAAAGGCAAGCCCCTAAATTCTAATGCAGTCATCTTCAGTCCTGTTCGAAGTCACATCCCAGATACGAATGTCAGCAATAGGGGTGATCCAGTACGAAGGAAGCCACAGGAATTCGATGGCAAGGCACCATGGGAAGCATATAGAGCAC